TACTCACTTTTGAAATGTAGAGCCAACAACCACTAGACCAGCAGTGTCAGCCAGTTGAGCCAGCTCTTTCAGTGATTCCTCAATGTCAAATGAATCATCCCTGCTGCTTTTGCAGGCAACTCCTACTAAGTAGGCTTTCTCCTCAAAACCCTATATTTTTCACGATTTAGCCAATAAGTGGTGCACCCATGATGCCATTATTTTGTTTCCCCATGGAAATCTTGAAAACATCCAATTCATCCTAGAGCAAAAAGATTGAGTAAATTTCGAAGTAAATCTGGAAACTTTGAAAAACTAACCTCGCCAGTTCTCTTCACCGTAGGCCTTTGAGCATTTTCTTCTGCTTCGACACTTGCATCATCTACATTGAACCCTTCTAGATGACCAGCAACTTCGTCTTCACTACCGGCCTCGATCACAGGGTTGCGAACGGGAAAAGAATCGTCCGGAGATAAGACTCCGATTCCATCTTCAAAAGCTCTAAGAAAACCAGGAGAAACGTGCTTTGTTCGCCGCTAATCGTGTATTCAATGGATGCCCATAATCGAGAAAGCAGATATTGGGAGTGGCGAGTGAAGCGTTTAGAGAAATCAAATGGGGAAGACACCCCTATCGATCAAAATCGTTCGATTTCTCCCCCGATCGAAATAGCTCAAACCCTTCTGCAACTTTCCCTTTCCCAGCGGAAAGACGGCCGGAAACCCTCTCGCTCTCAAATCACTCGCTCTATCTCTCCCGTGCGGCAACGGAATTGAAACTTTCTCTTTCAAAATCTCTCTCTCTCTTTCTCTCCCTTGTGCGTAAGCGGTGCTCACGTAAAACAATGCAGGAGATTGCAGCTCCGCGGAGATGCATGGGCAATTGGAGTGGGGTGTACACATATATATATAAAATAGTTAATGCATTTTGTTTCAATGACTAGAGTTGACAAATCGGTCGTTCAGGTCGGGTTCAGTCATTTAAAGTTTGAGTTATTTTGGGTTCGAGTTTAGATTGAGAATTGTATGTTCATGACCCAGTGTCATCGAGATTGGGTCGACCCAACGGGTTATGACTTTGGTTTTTTAAATTTTTAAATTCACATTAATACTTAAATTTTCTATTAAATAAATTTAAAATATCAAAAAAAAAATTAATCTACAAAATTATTTTATTTGAAACTCTAAAGTAGTTTTTAGATATATAAATCAATATACGGGATTTAAAAATGCTTAAGTTTTAGAAAAAAGTAAGATAATTATGTAATATCATTAAAATTTTGTTTGAAAATATAAATTTATACACTAAAAACAAGTAAAAAAGTGTATAATTTTGAAAAAATCTTACTTTAGCGGGTCGATCATGTCGGATTCGGGTTCGGTCGGGTTTGACCCATTTTAGCGGGTCATTTCGGGTTCAGTCATCAAAACCTTTGTTCAAAACCCAGTGTTTTCAGGTCGGGTTTCGGGTCCTCAGGTCACTTTTTGCCCGGTCTAGTAGTAACTAAGGGATATTCCATCAAATATTTTGTTGTAATGACTGGGAAAGGATATTATATCCAATATTTCATTTTGTTGTAATGACGAGGAAGGAATACACCATCCAATATTTCATCCATTAATGTTAATAAAAATATTCTTTCCTATATTTTCCTTAATGTTTTATGATAATAATTCTTAGGTTTTTTTTATTTTTTTATTTTTCTTTTTTTACTCTTTTTTAAAGTTTTTTTAAAAATTTATCTATAAAATCGTATAAAAATTCAAAAATGTATGATATAAAAATAAATGAAATAAAAAATTTTCTAAAAAAGAAAAAATTGAGTAATGGTAAAATGGGGAAAAATACATTTATTAATGTTATGAATAAAGTATTGGATGAAATGTCCCCTTTAAGTCATTACAATAAAATGTATGGATCTCTGTTGTCTTTTTGAAAATAGAGGGGCCTGAGAGTTATTTCTACAAAACTCGTGTCACTCGTATGTAATTTTCTGCCATTATATTCGGCCTATTTGAGAAAGCATAGTTAATTTTAAAAAAAATCAAAATTAATCAATATTATTAAAAATTATTTATATTTAAAATATTGACATTACGTTTATTGAATTCAATAGGGAGTATAATATTTCTCTGGTCCATAAAAAAATCATTTCTTATCTTATTATTTTTTTACTTTGATCTGTTCTGTTCATTAATACTACAAGTTTTATGTGTTTTTAATATATATTTTTCACATCAAAATAAAAGGCAAGCGTGCAACAAGCTACGCCACTAGCCCCTTTTTAATAGCAAAACTATGTCTTTTGAAAACTACATTGGGTGAGAAAATCAATGGTGTCAACTGCAAATGGTATAAACACCTGTTAGTTGTCGCACTACGTCAAAAACAGATGCTGACAACTGTTTCTTTTAGTAGTCTTCAGGTGCTGATTTCAGTAGTCTTCCGAGCAGCTGTCTGATATATTTACAGACTATTGTTTAAAAACAATTGTGTAAAATGGTTGACGACATCTGTTTTGTAATGTTTTAGAGTACCACTTTTTAGTGTTGTCCCCATATGAGTAAGACATCTGTTTTTTTAGAATTAAAGAGAACTGTGATTTTTTGTTATCTATCTATAATGAATACTACTGTTGTTTTTAACTTCAGACTCCTAATTCTTAGTGTCGTCGTTAAACAATATAGACATCTACTTTAAAAAGTAATTGAAAGATATATCAGACAGCTGCTCGGAAGACTACTAAAAAAAATATGATCAGAACAACTGTTATCTTTTGTTGTATTTCTAGAATATGGACTACTAATTTTGCTGTATTTTAAACAACCATTTCTTTCAGTTGTATAGTGCTCAATAACACTGCACTTTTTTTATAGTTGTCCTTGAAATATTCAAACTATCATTTTACACACTAGTTAGATTATAAATCAGACTAGTGCGCCGAAGACAACTAAATATGTTTGCATAAAACAACTGCTATTATGTGTTTTTTTTTTAAAAATGTAAACAATATTATTTGTTGTATTTCATACAACTATTTGTTTAAATTGTCTAACGTTAATTAACAATACAGGTTTGTGTAGTTGTCCTTTAAAGATTTAGAAAACTATTTAATGCAGGAGAGGATCAAGACTAACGTGAACTCTTTGTAAAGGCCTTCATTTTTAAATTTTTGTGTCTTTGGGCCTTCGGCCTATCTTTTAGTTAGCCCATTTATTTTTATTCTTAGGCCCGTTTTGTCTTCCATCTTTTAGGGTTTCACTCCCTTCGTTTTGTTAGCTATTTATAGCCCGGCTTTTGGGCATATTTCAGTCAGACTATTATATTTGAGATTTTCCCTATACCTAGAGCGGAATTCTTCCCCTAGCGTTTCAATCTTTCCCTTTCTTTCGTTGTTCTTTTCGTTCTAGCCCTACGCCTTGATTTAATTCGGCGTCAGTTGGTATCAGAACTCAATTCGACGAACAAAGGAAGATCATCCTTCGACATCAATGGTGCGTGCACGAGGTCGCGGCCGTGGGCAACCAATGGGTAACGAACCCCCCCGACGAGAGCAGCACCTTGACGACGTGGAGGTGATAACAGATCTACAGCGGCAGAACGAGGTTATGCGGCAGCAGATTGCGGAACTCACACGGCGCCTGGCGGTGCGAGATTTGGAGGATCATGAGGAGTCAGATCATGGCTCCCGATCATCGTTCGAGAACCCGTTTCATCGCGAACCTTGCGGTCGTGATTTTCGCGTCCGTGATGACTATCGCGGAGGGCTAGGGTTTAAGGTGGAAATCCCTAGTTTTTCAGGAACCCTGCAGGTCGATGATTTCATTGACTGGCTGAACGAGGTGGATCGGATCTTTGAGTACAAGGACATTCCTGACCGTGACAAAGTGAAGCTCGTGGCGATCAAACTCCATGGACGAGCCTCTGCATGGTGGGAACAGATGCGGCGATCTCGTGAGAAGAAGGGCAAACCAAAGATCACTGATTGGGAGAAGATGAAGGGTAAGATGAGGGCACACTTTCTTCCCTTCGGATACACACAAACCCTATTTCAACGACTCCATACGTTGAGGCAGGGAACAGTGTCTGTTGATGATTACACCGAAGAATTCTACCATTTGATTGCTCGCAACGATCTGTCTGAATCGGAGGAGCAGCTTGTGGCCCGATATCTGGCAGGCTTGCGTCAGTCGTTGCAGGATGTTCTCAACGTCCATTCACTATGGACTGTTTCTGAGGCATACAAAAGGGCCCTTGCAGTTGAGAAGCAGCAGAACAGGAAGCCAGTGACCAACAACCGACCGGCTCGACCCCAAGAGCCTCCTCGACTGACCACACAGGGAGTCCAAGGGACGCAGGGAGCTTCGAGTAGTACGATTAAGTGCTATCGTTGTGGTGAACCTTGACATAGGGCGAATGAATGCAAGAAACCCGCTCTACAGAAGAGCAAGAGCCTGTTCGTGGAGGAGAACATTGCTGTTGACGATGATGAAGTTGAAGAGTTTGGAGGTCCAGTCTATGATGATTATGGCCTGTGAAATTTACAATAGAAGATATTACCTATGAGTATGCTAAAACACACACATGACCTTAAAATCTCAAAATGCACACATTTACTTGTAATATGTATGCGGCATTAAGAAAAGCCTAATGAGAAAAGCTTTTGTTTGCCTAAAAACAACCACGATAACAGTTATGTTTATTTCATCATTATGTGAAAACAAAGCCAAACTTAACCTAAAACCCACACTCCTAATTATTCACATTCGTGCAGAGCATGTACGTTAGCCACAACAACCTCAGCTTCACCAGTGTCTGATCCTCAGCTACACTATTGTAATTGCCCTAGTCATAATTTTAGATCAACCCCCAAAAATACGAAGAATGAATTCCAGACTTCAACGCTCACTGTGAACAGTGCGCCGAATTCAGAAACATTGCTCAAATCGAAAGCTTCTTCGTATGGAATTGCAATCCAACTTTACACATTGAACAATAACCTAGGTCGCTCATAAACCCCCAGAAATTGGCCTTTGATTGATCATAAATAACCGATGTCCATGGTCACCGAATGAACAAGGACCATGAAGGGGTTACCTTCAGTTCGCCAAAGTCTAGCTCCAGAAAATTGAGTTTAAAGTCAACAGCATTTGCTTGAGACAAGCTCAAATCTCAAAAAATCACAAGAACATAGCAACGAAATAAAAAATAGAAGAAAAAGGGGTGAATCGCAAAAACCTGTTCAACAACCGTTGCGTTCTTCTGCTCGAGTCCATCGCCAAAACAGTGGAGATCATTCCCTGTCACCGCCGGTCGCTGCCTCTGTCACCGTATATGCCAAATCGCCGGAATCGCCGCTGTGGGTCTGCATCACTGCGTTCGCTGAGGGTCGCCGGGGATTGCTGTCGCTGCTGCTCTAGTCGCCGATTGGGGAGAATTGGAGAAGAAGGTCGTCGTAGGGATCGGAGAGAGAGGGGCGGCGGAATTCTTTGATCGAGGAGGAGAAGGAAAAAGTGAAATTTGCCGACTTTCCTAAGGTAAGACTTAAACTTTTTTATTCCATAAATAGAATTAAATAATGACCTTGTGGAAGGAATAATGTCCAGTAATGATGGACATTTAGTTAAATAATGACTACATGATAATGACCAAAGGTCATACATTGAGAAATAAAAATATATGGTCCTATATTGAGAAAGTCATTATGTTTTAGTCCTATTTAGGTAAATTACTCACGCTACAAATCCTTTTATATACCCTTAGGTTTTGTACTTCAAATTAAGATATGTTTGCATCATTGGATTTGATTTTTTGATCCCTACACTACAATATAATTTTTATATTCAATAAATGAAAATTTATAAGTTCCACCTGGTCCGCAAAAATTCTTTTATATACCTTAGGGTTTTGTACTTCAAAATTTAAAATAACGTGTCTGAGTAAAACATACCATTCGCACCATTGGATTCGATTCGTTGATCCCTATCCAACAATATAACTTTTATTATCATTCGACAAGTATTTACCGGTTCCTCCAAATCCATATTAATTACAACAACAACAACCCAGTTAAATCCCAAAAGAGTAGGGTTTGGGAGGGTGTGTGTACGCAGACCTTACACCTACTTGACAGTAGATAAGTTGTTTTCAAAGAGACCCTCGGCTCAACGTCGAAGGTTGCATTGCTAGACTAACTGCTACTTCATTAATTAAAGAAGCGCATACAGTTTAGAGATCCATTTTGATTTATTCAATCACACCCAAAAACCAAAAAATGGTGAAATTTTGACGATTGAAATTTTGACCTAGTCCATATTAATTCTTTCGTTTAGTTAGTATCGATCATTTCTTTAATTTAAACCTTTACAAATAGAGTTAGATTAGTCTCGTAATATTAAGACGATTAGAATTCTCTAAAATATCTTTTAAATTTTTTAAGGAATAGATTATCATAAAAAAAATACTCCCTCCGTCCACAAATAAACTTTACATTACGCGTTACGATGTTTGACTGAAGTTATTTTCAAATCATTTTATATGAAAAATTGTGTAGAATTGAAAAATAAAAATTACATATTAAAAAACTATATCAAAAGATCTACAAAACTAGAGGTGACATGACTATATTATTTTATCAAATCGGTGACGAAAATAGGCCAACAAAGTGAATAAAGTTTGACCCTGTGAATAGTGAACGTAAAGTTTATTTGTGGACGGAGGGAGTACTTCTTATTTCATTTCAAACAAATTACTCAAAACATTTAACATTAATTAATTTTTAAAAAAATTAGATCAATCAAGATTAGATCTAATTAGAAAGAGTTTTTAAATATAACTAAAATTAGATCTAACAAATTATATTTAATCAGATAAGATGCTTTAAGATCAAATCAAAATCAATCAGATCTTATTGCTTGTATATTTAATGTGAGCTACTACATCTCAATTTAACATGTTTATATGTTGTTTAGATGATATCTAATTAAATCATATCTCATCATATCAGATTAGACTAGATTAAATTAATAGAGTTTTAAATATAACAAATCGTACTAATTAGATCAAATCGGACAAAAACAAATCTAATCGGAATAAATCAAAGTCAAATCCAATAAGATTAGATCAAATCTTCAAAAATATCGAATCAAATCAAATTCAAATATAGTAAGATCAGATCAAATATTTAAAAAAAATCATATCGGATCTAATTATATTGAATCAGACCACAATAGATCTAATCAGATCAAATCGAGTTCAAATCTATTAAAAAACAATTTAATTGTGTAGGTCGTGTCATATTTGCTTGATTTAATCTTTAAATGCATTATATCGGATCTAATTAAATTGAATGAAACCAAAATAGATTTGATCAAATCAAATCAAATTCAAATCTATTAAAATCAGATTAAATCTTCAAAAAAACAAGTCAATTATATAGGCCGTGTCTTGTTTGTCTAATCTAATCTATAAATGCATCAGATTAGATCAAATTAGATCAAATAGACAAAAACAGATCAAATCAAATTCAAATCTAGTAAGATCATATCAAATATTAAAAAAAATCATATCTGATCTAATTAGATTGAATCAGACCACAATAGATCTAATGAGATCAAATTAAGGTCAAATCTATTAAGATGAGATCAAAACAGATCTAATCAGATCAAATCAAATTCAAATCCAATAAGATCAGATATAGTCTTCAAAAAACTCAATTTACTTGTCAAGGTTTTTTCTTATTTGCCAGATATAACCTTTAAATGCATGAGATATGAATTTAGTTTATATAACTTCCTCCGTCCCAAATTATTTGCCACATTTGTATTATCGAGGCAAAATATCAAGTTTTTTCAATTCATTTTATTTACATATTGGTATAAAAATAAAAAATAAAATTTATAAATAAAAAAATTACATGAAATCTTCTTTGAAATAATAGCTGTCAAGAACATTTTATTTTATCAAATAACCAATGAAAACGTCGAAATAAGCAAAAATTCCCGCGACTGCTGAAAAAGCAAATGTTGTGAATATTTAGGGACGAATGGAGTATTAAAATTTACCTCCAAATCTCTACAATTTTAATTTCCCTCTATCTAAATTTTGGGTCATTCCGAATTCGGTTCTGGGTTATTCGATTCTGGTTATCGGGTCCGAGTCTGTTTTGCCAAGTCTATACACCCTCACACGGAGGTGAACTACTGTTCCTCTCCAAGAAGCTTCTTTTAAAAGTCCGAAAGTATGAACTGCCCTCACCTCACAACATTAAGTATTTTCTGTGTCAGTGTTTTGCATATCTTGGACCAAATTTGGCGCATTTTAAAAAATCAAGGGACTAAAATTTATCCAATTCATAGCCCAGGACCAAAAGTAGCATGAAATTGTAGCTCAGCATCGTCCTTATCACCTTACTCCCAATTTCTTGTGCTTGGTGGCGTTAAATATATAGTGCCAATTAACAACAACAACCAATTGTATAAAATTAATTAACACTGTTATTTAATGCAAAATACAATGCCATTGTTTCATGTCGAATACCCTTTTTTCTCAAGAACTTCCAAGGAAGAAAGAATGAGATGAAATTTTTTAATCAGTCATCAACAACAAACCCAGAAAAATCCCACAAAAAGGTCTGAGGGTGTGTGCATGCATGCAAAATATCATGACACAGCGACGAGTTGAATATTTGATATCATCATGCCCTATCCACACTTTATGTGGCCAGATAAGCACCCCGAGAGAATTAAATAAATAAATAAATATAAAATAAAATAAATTTCAAATACACATATTTACCCTTATGCGCTTTTCTAGCTCCAATTGTGAAGAGAGTTCTTGAAGTTGCTTTTCCGGAATACTATTGGTGGCTTGCAAAGCAGCTGCTTATTTTGCAGCCTGAGGAAAAAACATGGTATTCAACACATGATGAAATTCAGGCTTGCACCAATCATACATAAGTTCAAATCAAGAAGGAAAAGATTTATAAGGATTTCTACTTTTAGTGGGAAAAGCTTTATTGCCTCAATTGTTCGTGTTAGTTCAAATACTTGAACCAGAAATCCAAAATATGCATTAAAGTATGGATTTCCTTATATATTAGTTATAATCTTGGCTAAAACTTGAGGATATTATCCCCTATCAACTTACAGATTCATCACTATATGGCCAAACTCCAAAGACAGTGTGGGAATTTCACCCCAATCATAGGTATATGCAGCTTATATTCCCTTGCTTGGAAACTCATGATGCAGGATAGATTCAATTACTTAAGAAAGTAACATTTTTTAAAAAACAAAGATTAATACAGTTCATTTAAGTATTTGAGAAAGGAAAAATGATCATCTAAGTTCTCTATCTTGACAGAATCACTGGCATCTTGGATAAGTAGTCATGTTAACTGATCCTCCCAAATATACTTCACAACATATTTTTAAAGCATTGCATCCACAAGTCAACGATGCAAAAGACATGTAGGAACCGCTTTAGTCTGATCTAACTATCAATGCAATGCTCAAGCAAACATACGTTGGGTTTCTTCTTTAAAGAAAACGAGAATACAAGATCTCACCATTTTATGTTTGCGGAGTTCTCTGCGAGCAACTCTTACCCTCCATGCACACTGGGTGGTAACCGCTGCTTTCTTCATTCTCTTGTAATGAATGCGAGCCACTAATCCACAAAAATGACTCTGAAATCAATGCTGAGATTAGACTAAATAAGCCTACACAAAGATGGAAACTTGGTGTACCTGATACCTATACTCCTGTAGAGAAAACTCTACCAAATCTGTATGTACATAACCAATCTATTTTCATTATTTAGTAATATACTACATTAATTCAAAAAGCATGAAAGAAAGGAACAGTTTCGGCATTGTTGCCATTGTTCATTCTCATAAAGTGAGAAATAAATGAGGCCCCAAAAAGAGGCTCCCATAACATGTTGAAAGGAAGGAGTTTCTTCACCTAACTGAGATGTATCAAAACTTTTGGAAAGACAACTGAGGTGAATAGAAG